GATGATTTCTACCAATGTGTGTTCTGCATTCCTACTCCTAACATGGAGCTTGGAATGTTAATGCTCAATATGGAGTGGACATAAAGTTTAGTGGACAGAAGATCCTCTAGTAACATGGTTACCTACGATAATTTCTGACAAGTGCTGTGATTCAATGTTTTTCACCAGGAGCAGCTTTTTAAAAAAATCTACCCAATATCTTAATGCATACAGCCAGCCAAGCACGCAGTCACAAACTGACCCACACTGTGCAGAAAGTGGTGCATCCATTGATTGTTCCCATTCCTTTTGTGTTACCGGAGCATACTTTCCTCTCATTATTTATGCAGGATATCAGATCATCTGGGTTAAACATATAATGGAGAAATTAGACAGGCAGGATCACATGCGTGTGATGGAACAGTTCACCAGATGGAGAATCATGCAGCTTTTACTACTGCCGTAGGCTTCTCATTTCCTGGTTTCCGGCTGCAGGCTAAACCTAACTGATCATAGAAATATTGGAGCTTCATAGCAGAGGAAGAGGTCATTTCAACCACCATGTCTGGGCAAGTAAATGAGAGCTCTCTGGCAGAATTTCACTTGGCAGCTCTTAGTCTGTGGGCCTATAGGTTATGATACTTCAATATTCAAGCACTTCCATAAGAAATGTGGGTTCCTGCTTCTACCACCCTTTCAGTAAATGAGTTCTGAACTTCTAACGCCCTCTTGGCGAAAAACTTCTTTTTTTAAAATTCCTCTCTCAACTTTGTGTCAAATATGTTAAATCTATGTCCTCAGTGATTGATTGACCTGCTAAGGGGATTGATCATTCGGCCTACCATCAACTAATTCAAATCTATTTACTCAATATTAAAGGTCTTTCTTTCTTGCTCTGGGTATAAAACATTGTAGTTATTAGGTCTTAAATTTGGCTTTTTGCATCAGCCAAATCGTACATCCTACCAAAACGCTTTTTGCCAATTTCTTACTGGGTCATGTATAGTGTTTTCTTTAATTTTCAGTTGCTAGCAAAATACTTCTTGTTTTCCCTTTATTTTGTTTGATCATAGGTTGTGATCATCAAACAAGGGCAGCATTTATTGGACACCTCTACTTCTCCTTGAGAAAATGCACTGGATAGAAATAAACGGAGTCTGAGGAATGGTCTTGGGGGCCTTCATTCAACACTTCCTGTTAGACTAGCATAACCTCTTTCACAAGTACACGCTTTCTGATCTTGATACAAAAATTACAACACTATGTGTAATATTCTCATCACCTCTAGGCCCAGGTGGTGGTAATAAAATAGATTTTATTGGAACAAAACAGAACTCCTATCATTTTAATCATGGCAGTCCTAGAACTTCCATCTGTAGCAAAATTGTATGGAGGCCCCATTTCACCAGCTTCTGCAATGGTGGCAACAAACCAAGAGTGGAGTAGAGGAAGAGGAAATGGCATTAAAACACCAAAAAGCTACTGAATGAAGCCACTGAAGATGGGTCTTTAGTGAGATGATTATGGAACTACAATAAGTTTTTTTTTTCAGAAAATTCCTTTTTGTGACTAACAATTCAGAAATCACAAAACAAAAACATTTATGGGAACTGATTACATAGTTCTCAGCACTACACAACGAATCTCAGAGACGAGATGGAAAGAAACCACACTACCTACAATCATACATTTTTCTACGATCATTCAACTTAGATTAATTTTGTGATGAAGACTCTCCAACTCAGCTGGTTCTTAACAAGATTTCCTCCAAGTGAACCAGATAAAACAAAAGTCTCTCTAAGACACAAGCTAAATTCGTGGCCTTGTTAAAATAAAGCTCTAATGTCCACAGTGAACTTTCAATTCCAACTTTTAAAGACACTACTCTAAGTATTTCTACAAACTTGAAATAAAACAATTTTCCACAATTCTTCAAAACTTAAGTACTCCAAGCATTTTTAAATATCAAGTGCATTTACAACAATAAAAAAAAGTACATTGGAACTTTATTTTAACAAGGCATTTCTTGGAATCCATATGGTTCCAGATAATTCTTGGTCTTAGTTGCTTAAAATCACTTCAGGGAAAGCACCTGACTATTTTACAACTGGGTTTTATAGCTGTTCTATTTGAATAGTGTTTCAGACTTAGGGGTTTGTGTTTGGATATTCAACTGAGAAAGCTTGCTGCAGAACAAGCCGCTTAGCTCACGTCCTCTGTCCCTGGAACACTTTTTATTGTGAGATCAGGGTGAAACCCAGTTGTTCTTCTGGAAGAGTGGCTGAAAGAACTTCTCAATACCATATTTCCTCAGAAAGTAGGCAAACAACTCTCCAGGGCCAACCCACCTATTTATTTCCCTGACTTGCCACCTCTCTTGTCACATTCAGACAGGGGAAAATTGTGTCCTTGAAGTTTGGCTTTTATGACACTCAAAGTATACTTGCTTCAAAAACACTCAGCATTTGCCCAATGTCCTTTGGTTCAAATTGGCAGAAGCAATGGGGTTAAGGAGCTGTCAAAATTCATAATGCCACTCATTCCAATTGCTGTGTCTCCCCTCTGGCTTGCCTCGTATTAATCTATTCTTAAGCAGGAAAGAAACAGGTCATCAGAAGCTAATCAGAAATTTCAGCTTGAGGCTTGAGTACGCCAATGAGAATTTCCCTACAAGGTGACACGTGCAGAGTTCCAAATTTCTACAGCAGAAGCCCAGAAGGTAATTATTAAGTTTGTTTTTTTTTTAATCACGTATTTTTTCATTCATGAGGAGGGACACAGTCCTTAGTCTCCTACACTCAACCATACATCTCAGCAACAACCTCTCCATTTTCCCCACCCTCCTGGATTACAATCCTGAACTCAGTCTCTCCCTCACAAACTGAGGGATGGCCCGCTCTTGATCTCTGAAGTGCTGCCTCCCACTTCTGATCCTGGTATCTGGCCTTCTCCACAACAAATCGCTGACCACCCAACTCAACATGGGTTCATGTTTACAGCCTCCTGCTGCCCAAGTGCATATCTGTCCACCAGATTTGCTGTCAAACTGACCGACAGGCTGGCAGGCAAGAGTCTGCAGCAGATTGCCCAAATATTAGGATCAAGAATGTCATCGTTTTCCCTGCCTGACTTCTCTGAGCGGCTGCACTCCTCATTAATATTTGGGTCTTTGTTTCCGCAAAAATTTTCTACAAATGTAAGAAAACTTACTGTTGTTTAGTAAGACACACTGAAGTCACTAGAAGTGATGCACACAAAGGCAGTGAAATAATCCAGGTCCTTAATGTTGGTTGAGTAAACCAGTACCATATTCCAATTTCAATTTGACCAAATCAAAGCAATGCAGCAATCCAACAAACTACTGTAACAAAAACAGAAAGTGTGGAGAAACTCAACAGGTCTATCAGCATCTGCAGAGAGAAAGCAGAGTTCAGGTCGAGCAACACTTGACTTGAAGTGATAATTCTGTTTTCTCTCTGCAGATGCTGTCAGACCCACTGGGTTTCTCCAACACTTTCTACATTTGTTTGTTTCAGATCTCAACATCTGCAATTCCTTATTTTATTTCAGCAAATTACTGACTGAACGTTGTTACATATCTATGAAACATAGCCATTCAATGATCCCCCCCAAATTAAATGAAGCATATTCTTACTTTTGCATCTCATCATCACACACATTTCTTTAGATTTGAATTCTACCACAGGGATTCTCAACTGGCAATCAATGGCACTTTAGGTCTACATGAAAATGTGGGGTAAAAATTATACTGTGCTCTTCCGGGCACACACTGGGAGCATACATCCGTAAATTGCAAAGGTCCAGCATGGGGAGAAACATAAGACGAGAAAGAGAAGTCTTGCTGCAATTGTTGCAGAAGGTCAGGGAGAGACAGTGGGCCTTCTCCTCCCTCAGATCTGTTAGTGACAATTGGCAGCCAGTTGTTTGCCAGTGGGGCCCCAGGCAGAATTCACTCTCCTGTTCACAATGTTTAAACGGTAAATTGCACAATGGTTTTGTGGACTAATGGGCTAAGAGTCATCCAAAGAGTATCTGCAATTTTTCGACTGTTTTCAGCATTTGTTCTGACTGTTAAATATGAGCCAAGAATGGCAGAGCTAGCTAATCAAATGGCCTGTTGCGATTGCCACTTGGAGCTGAAATACAGGAATAGCACACACATGAGGGGTGGATGTTATATACATAAAAGAACCACCAAGTTGCATGAAGACATGACCCTGAAACATAGGTACACATTTATGGCGATCCCTCTGACTGACAGCTTGGCAATCTTGCTGTGCATGAATGTTCTGTTTGTTCTTAACCAGGTGTATTGTATCAGCAAGATGAGCCACATTACATCAGTAAAACAAAGAATAAACCAATGTTTGATTGTATAATTATGTGCATACAAAAAAAACTTCTTTACTCGAGATGTGTGGAATATTTAGAACCTAGGAGGGGGCTCAGAAGTAAAATGACTGAGAACTCTTGTTATGCCATATATGCAGAAACATAAAAACTCAGAGTTGTTGCAATTGTTTCAATATTTAGTCAGCTAGAGTGACATATTTTTGTTACTAGGACACTCAGCTGACAACACCAAATACAGATTAGTCTGATTTTGCTCAGCATTAATAAAATGCATGTCCTTTCTAATCATCATTTCTGCTATTTTAGTGCAACCAAGGTTGAAAGCCATGCTTTTATTTGGAATTATTGCAAGCTCATGGCCACACATTCCATAGTTCAGGACAGGTATTTCTGCTTTAACACGTGTTTCATTAACACAAATTAGCTGTAATGAGGTTGATGAATAGTAGACACTGTTTGGATAACGTGAACTTTCTGCTGTGCAGGTATAGCGATTTCTCTCAAATGCAATTTTCTATAGCGCAAGGTCATGCAAGAACATTATAGAAAAACTGCCTGTATGTCAAGGCAGCAGCTTACGGTGCCCAAACTCTAAATGAATATAACAACTAATGTAGCTGACCCTCCCCAAATTTGTCAATATGTACCTGTATGGCTTCGAATGTGCACACGTAATGTTCCATTGCTAGCAAATTTCTGGCCACAATAAGGACAAATCTTCTCTTTCTCGCCAGTATGTGTCTGAAAGACAAGAGGTAAGCAGCACTCAGTTCAAACTGCATTCTAGAAACATCCTGAATTACTTTCTTGTTGACGACAATCAGATCTTGTTTAATCGCCATTTTCATATTTAATTTGCCTGCAGTATTTACAATCATCAGCTTCTTAAATGTTGACCATTATTTGTAGTTGTACTTGAACATGAAACAACACTAAATACGAACTAATGCTGGGGCTAGTAATTCACACAGCCTCCTTCTGAGTGAACCATTACAGATGCTAGCTTTCAACTGGCAGAACCAGAAAATAAACTGGGTTAAACAAGTTGTGATGCCAGAAATGCAAGCCAATCTCTCTCTTAAGTAAAATGTGCAGAAGAATTTGCAATCATAATATAATTTCATCCTGAATTTAGGGCAATTTCTAAACTTCACAAAGATATAATTCCAGAAGTACTCAGTCATACAGCACAGAAACAGACCCTTCGGTCCAACTTGCCCACACTGACCAGACATCCCAATCTGATCTAATCTCATTTGCCAGCATTTGGCCCACATCCCTATAAACCCTTTCTATTCATGCACCCATCCAGGTGCCTTTTAAATGTTGTAATTGTTCCAGCCTCCACCACTTCCTCTGGCAGCTCATTCCATTACACACAAAACCCTCTGCATCAAAATTTACTCCTCAGGTCCCCAATAAATCTTCCCCCCCTCACCTTCAACCTATGCCATCTAGTTATGGACTCCCCCATCCAAGGAAAAAGACCTTGGCTATTCACCTTATCTCTGCCCCTCATGATTTTATAAACCTCTATAAGTCACCCCTCAAACGCTCCAAGGAAAAAAAGCCCCAACTATAACTCAAACCCTCCAGTCCTGGCAACATCCTTGTAAATCTTTTCTGCACCCTCTTAAGTTCAACAACATCTTTCCTATAGAAGGGCTACCAGAATTGTATGCAGTATTCTAAAAGTTTTTCTATAGACATTAGTTTTGACCACCTTTGCTCAAGCTTTGCAAAAGATAACAGATTTGAAGCAAATGAATTAGATGTATAAAAATGCATCTAAAACATAATACCAATGTGGCAGGATACACCTGTATGAGATTAGTGAACAATTAAAAATCCTTCAGAAACTGATGGATAACATTTCACTTAAGTGTATTTTCTTTATTGTAGAAGCCCTCTTCTGTCCCAATCAAATGTCATCACAAAAAAACAGATTTTTAGAGCTGAGTTTTGTTGTGGGCTTCAGGAATCCAACAGCAGAAGCAAATGGTGGTCCGAGCCTGCCCTTTCAGACAGTGAGACTTGCTCAGTGATCTTCCAGCTAGTAGCTTCCCAAGTGATCACCTCAGCATTCACCATCATTCTAAAGTCACTAGGCATACACTCAAAGCTGCCTTCCCAATTAGAGCTGACATACAGCGTGAGAGAAAGGGCAGCCTCAATGGGTGGTTGGGCATTATTGAAGCAGATCACAGACTGCCAGGGCTGCTCTGCACAACAGTGAAGACATAAATAGAAAGTTGATCTTGGCCAGCCCAACACAACAGAGGGGTTACCCCTCAGCTGGATCAGAGTTGGCAGCAATTATGATCTTGGATGCCTATTGCTGCCATTGATGGGGATTGAAGACTCTGGCTTCACTGATCCTCTAGCCTCTAAGAGAAGACACCTCTATTGAGCTGGCAGCATCAGCAAGTGACAAAGTGCCAGTTAGGCTGTAAAATCATCCCTAATGAGTGCCTTAAACAACATTAATGACCGCCTGCCTCCAAACTGCTTCACAGTTGGAAGACATCTTTGGCAGCAGGCATGAACTATCCTCATGCAGCTTCCTTATGTTCAAGACCAACTTTTGCAGCATAAAAAAATTCAAGATTTCATTTCCTATTTCCCCTTCTACTTCTTGAGACATGCAACAAATGAAACATCTAAGAATCCATTAAAACTACAGGTAGATAATAGAAAAACAGGAGTTCTGTTGGGTGAATTTCTGTCATTCTGCCATATCACAGCTTTCTAATGAGGAAAATGGTACTTTTACATGCTGGGCCAAATAGAAGTTACCATTTAAACAGCTTCAATGCAAAAAAGCTGGTGTTTGCACGTCCTGCTTGATATTCCACTCCTATTGGGCCCACAGTCATCAACTTAGTTCCACATCACACCGTCAGGCCTCAAAGAAACAGATATTTGGCATGTAATAGTGAACAATGTGGTACAAGTGTTACATCGACCATTTTATTAATTTCTTGTACCGTCCTGAAATAAAAGGTGTAACCTTTAAATATTTTGGCTGAGGACCTCAAGTTACAAGTCAAAATTTCAACAAAGGTGGTGCATTCACAGAGGGCTAGCCTGAAGGAACTTTCGTTTCTCCTGGCATTTTTGTTGTAATCTCAATGGAAATGGAACTACAGCTCATTCCTAATAGCAAATAAAATCTAATATAATTTTTTTTTTAAAACTGATCCTTGGAGCTACAGATGCAAAGAGAATTCCAATATTATATGAGCAATGCAAAGTATATAAGTCATTATTTTTTAAAATTGAACATTGCACATATTTAAGTTTACAGATTTATGGTTGAAGTTTCCAACAATTCCAACAATGAATTTTAATTCGTAGATTTCAAATTAAGAAGCTGTTTAGTGACAATGGTGTAGTGGTAACAGTCACTGGGCTAGTAATCCAGAACACAGGTTAGTGTTCTGGAAACATGGGTTTGAATCCAACTAAGGCAGCGTGTAGAATTTAAATTCAGTAAAAGAAAAAGAAAACGCTCAAACAGAGGACTAAAAGCAAATCTAATATAATCATTAACAATTGATGTAAAAATCCATCTGATTCACTAATGTACTTTAGAAAAGAAATCCGATATCCTTACCTGGCCTGGCTTACATGTAACTCCAGGCCCACAGCAATGTTAACTGCCCTCTGGGTAATTAGGAATGGGAATAATTGCTGGCCCAGCCATTGGCACCCATATCCCTGATTGTTTGTGATATTCACAAATGATGTAGATGAGAACGTGGGAAGGACAATAAGGAAGTTTGTGGATGACACAAAGATTGGCCGAGTGGCAGTGAGGAGGAAAGTCTTAGGTGAAAGGAGGATATTTTTTAAAAAATGGTCAGTTAGAGCAGGTCAATGTTAGACGGAATTTAACCTTGAGATGATGCAGTTTGGAAGAAATAACAAACAAGGGAGTATTCAATGAATTGAAGGGCACTAGGAAGCTCACAGGAACGGAAGGAACCTGAAGTTCTTGTTGACAGATCCCTGAAGATGGCTGGACATGTGAACAAGATAGTTTAGAAGGCATATGGAATGCTTGAATCAGTCGAAGCTCAGCTTATAAGAGCACGGAGGTCACGCTGGAGCTGTACAGAACTTTGGTTAGGCCACAGCTGGAGTACTGTGTGCTAGTCTCTATACTATAGGAAGGATGTGATTGCACTGGAAAGGATGCAGAGAATATTCACCAAGATGTTGCCTGGGATGGAGTATTTCAGCGATGAAGGGAGGCTGGACAAGCTCAGGTTGTTTTCTTTGGAAGAGACAAGGTTGAGAGGAGACCTGATAGAGTTGTATAAGACTATAAGGGACATGGACAGGTGGATAGAAAGCAGCTGCTCCCCTTAGTTGAAAGGTCAAGAACAAGCAGGCACACATTTAAAGTGAAAGGCAGGAAGATCAGAGGGGATTTGAGGAAATCTTTTTTCACCCAGAGGGTGGTTGTGGTTGGAATGTACTGCCTGGGAGGGTAGGTGAGGCGGGTAATCTCACAACCTTTAAAAAGTACTTGGATGAAAAATTTAAGTGCCATAATACTTAAGGCAATATGCATGTGGGAAAGTGGGACTTGTGTAGGTAGTACACTACAGTATACCACAGACTGGCAGAACAGATCCTATGGGCCTCTTCTGTACTGTATAATTGTATGTCTTTTTACGAATCCACTAAACTTTATACAAATGCACACTGAAATGATATGTAACAAAAAACTGTTACTCCCTAAGAATTCAGCAAAGCTAACTATCATTGGTTTGACATGTTATTTTTCTGACACTTGAGCGAAGCTGTGAATTTGGAATTGTCCCTGTGGTACTCAGGCATCTTCTGGTGTAGGTACACCCACAATGCCTGTTAGGAAGGGATTTCCAGGATTTTGACCTTTGACAGAGAAGGAACAATGATACAGCTTGGACTCAGGATGTTGTGTAACTTCAAACAGAACTTGCATATGTTTGCTGTATCCCTTGTCCCACCAAGTGGTAGAGGTCAAGAGTTTGGAAGATATCTAGCCATGTGCACAACTTGCAAGTTGATGCAGAACTTGCATGTAAGACTGTCCCATGGGACAAGGCATCGTATCAGTAAATGACCTTCTTATGCTATAAGTTGTTTTTTTTATTTGTTAATTAGAATTCCAGAAATTAACTTCAGTCAGAAGAACTGAGTGAAGCAGACCAAACCACAACCTAACCTTTAAAAAAAGACAAATATAAGACTGCAAAATCACTGATTTAATATTTGCTGAAGTTTACACAAATCTAGAAACTACAGTGCTGTTAAACACTGCTGCACCAAACAGAGCAGGTAATAAATCATTAAGAATGTGACAGAAACACATAAATCTGAAACATTAGGTTAAGTTGGAGACAGAATTGTTCAATTCCATGCTGCGAAGCTTACTGTGGTGAAAACTGTTCACCCATGTCAGGTACACTGTTGACTCAGACTAAAACATGGATGAGTGGAGATCTAAAAGTGAATGAGCTGTGTTTAATCCAAAAACTCATCTAGAGCATGGCTTACCCTTATCTCCAAGAATCAGTGAAACTGCTGAGTTCCTTGCTTCAACAGCTTTTATCTGAAAAATGCGGCAACAGTCTACCTTGTCTAATAACAAAGATTTAACACCAAATCCGTGTGTTTCTTTTTAATTCAAATTCCTTTGACAGGTCAACCAGAAGTTCATTCATTTGAGTGCATTTTTATTTAGCTCA